TCTTGTAGGGAGTTGTTTCATTGGTATGGTGGTCAGTTAAGGCCATTTCGCGTTTTCGTGATCTCGCTTTTCAACATATTCTAAAGAGTGAAAACGCGAAATCAAACATGCAAAAACGCTAAAACGCAAAGTCGAAAACACGAAAACGCGAAAACGCAAAAACGTAAAAATTGGTAGGTGAAACCATTTGCGTTTTCGACTTTGTGTTTTTGCGCGTTTTCGTGTTTTCAAATTTCTGTTTTCGAGTTTTCGACTTCGCATTTTCGCATTTTCGACTTTGCATTTTCGCATTTTCGACTTCGCGTTTACGAAAACCAAATACCAAAGACAACCATTGAACTACAGACTCCTGACTTGGGACAGGCACATAGAGTATATGATGGGTTAAACATGTTGGTGAGAGTTCAACCCTCCCCTAACCCGAGACAGTGTTGTAACAGCACAACATAAGAACAATCTAGAAAAATCAGTTGAAAAGAATTAACACAACAGATCGATACAATGCAGAAAAGCATCAATCAAAAACACAGACCAGACGCGGGAGGTTGTTTATCCATCCCTCATCCCTAACAACAAAAAGACACTCAGATCTGATAGTACTCACAGTTACTTACATCAAGTTCAAAGCCAATAACAACTAATAAAAAGCTCATTTATCTAAGACTTAAATATCGATTAGGTCACATCCAAATTCCAATGGATTTAGTGTAAAGACGTCATTAACATGACCTTATGCAATGCCAGAATATAGGTATCGACAGATTGTAGTACCGTGAAAGTACATATGTCGCAGTATGAAAGCCTACGGAAGCCGGTTCTGTCAAGGTGGAGTTTTAATTTTAATTCGTTATAACGACTTAGCAAACTTGTTATAACGACTAAGCTTATCTAACTTGTTATAATTACTTAACAACTCGTTGTAACGACTTAGCTAACTCGTTTTAACAACACCGCTAACTCGTTTAAACAACTAAGATAACTCGTTTAAACGACTTAGCTTACTCGATTAAACAACTTAACTAACTCGTTAAAACGACTTAGCTAACTCGCTATAAAAACTTGTTGTGTTAATATGTCTTTTGATTGAGTTAAGCCATTATAATTGATATTTTATAGTGTGTCTTTCTATGTTGTGATGTTACACTATTGTTTTGTTTCAGATAAGGGTGAAGGTTTGGTACCATTAAAACGTTTAAACCCGCTGCAATACTTTGTACCTGTCTTAAGTCAGGAATCTGATGTTCAGTAGTTGTCGTTTGTTGATGTGGTTCATAAGTGTTTCTCGTTTCTCGTTTTTTTATGTAGATTAGATCGTTGGTTTTCCCTTTTGAATGGTTTTACACTAGTAATTTTTGGGGCCCTTTATAGCTTACTTTTCGATGTGATCCAAGGCTCCGTGTTGAAGACCGTACTTTGACCTATAATGGTTTACTTTTATAAATTGTGACTTGGATGGAGAGTTGTCTCATTGGCACTCATACCACATCTTCTTATATCTATTAGCTACTTTCCTGGACTTAACTATAACCCCTAATGTATCGGTCTTGATTTATTTCGATTGTCTTCTTATTTATAGATTTTTAAATGTCGACTATAATTGCACATAAATTAGAAATAGAGATTGAAATGATGAAGACATAGTCTTTCAATCAGTTTAATTGAAGTCTGGAGCTGGCATGTCAGTAACTTCTAGTAGTCCTTTATTAATTTATGTATTATTGTCACTTTGCTTAGTTTCTTTTGTTACCTATTATGACATCGGACTCGGATTTTTTTTTTAAATGAGATTAAATGTATGTATTGATGTGTGTTTGTTTTTTCTACATTGTCTAGAGGTATAGGGAGAGGGTTGAAATCTCACAAAACATGTTTAACCCCGCCGCATTTTTGCGCCTGTTCCAAGTCAGGAGTCTCCGGCCTTTGTTAGTCTTGTATGATTTTGAATTTTAGTTTATTTGTATGTTTTGAATTTAATATGGCCTCCATTATCACTAAACTAGTACACATTTTTGTTTAAGGGCCATCTGAAGCACGCCTTCGGGTGCGGGATTTACTCGTTTTGTTGAAGACCCATTGGTGGACTTCGGTTGTTTTTGCACTTTGGTCGGGTTGTTGTCTCTTTGACACATTCCCCATTTCCATTTTCAATTTTATTGAAAGATTTAAAACTGCAAAAAAAGAAATTGAAGATGGTATATATTTTTTACTTAAATGTCTTTAATACATCGAAGATTGCAAGTCTTTTCTAATTAATGTAGAACTAAATAAGGGTGTAAAATTAAAAGACATTCACTGACAAATCTAAATTTTTAAATTTGTCTTGATGTATTATTCAAATGGAATAGTTAAATCACAGAAGTCCATTTTTAGTTTTTCATTACTCGGAAATATTTGTGGATCTATACAAGTGTGTTTTTGTTGAACAATCTACTGAGCTTCAGAATTATACCACAATTGTCGTGATTACGAAATGTGTTAAGTTTTTAAGTTCAATTTCGATTAGCGGAAGTCGAATTTATATTATAAACGCGATTTTTTAAGCAGGTGAATATTCGAAGTGTCATGCACAGAGAGTTTTTTTACCGTTTTTTTTTAATCATTATTATCATAGTTTAAGAGAAGATAAATAAAAGAGGCCGAAAGACAAAGCCTTTGAATTTGGATCATAATAACGGGATGAGTACTAGGTAGTGCAGTCAAAGAATTCTAAAATAAATTGAACACAGTTATTTCGTAGAGCAATTCTTTTTTTGGACAATAAATTCAAATAGAAAAAAAAATCGCTCCTGCTCTATCTATATTTTCGTTGTATTTTAGCACCCCAGTTTTTTTTTCTATTCTGTATATATGTTAGTACCCTATTATTTATTCTCTATTCTTTAAATTTTAGCATCACATTATTCTCTATTTTTACTCTTTTTTTCTGTTTATTTTTAGTCCATTCTGTAGTCTTTTACCATTATTCTCTCTCAACACCCTACCCAAACCTTCATTCATGTATATGACAGGCATCACGATTTGTCTAGTTAAATAAAAAAATTCAGAACGAAATTTACATTTTAGTCTTTTTGTTTTAGTTTACATATTATTCTCTATTTTTATCCTATTATTTTTATTCCTTTTTTTGTGTCTTTTCTGTGGTCTTTGTCTATGATTCTCTATTGTATAAACTCCACCCAAAACTTCATTATGCATATGACACTACAGGCATCATTATTTGTATAGTTATATAAAAATATATTTAAAACAAAATTTATATCTTAGTCTTTTTAGCTTATAGTTTACATAATATTTAAACTACCGAGCCAATGAAAAATACTTACATTTTCTAAATATTAATTCATATAAATCCTGACAAAAACAATTTGCATAAGTTTAAAATGAGAAGAAAAGAGATGTATATTAAATCTTTTTGTGAAAAATACATTTGTGGATATATTTGTAATTTCAAAATGGTTGCGGGAGCACACATCTCGTTTAGTTATTCTCTGAAAACTTAAGATACTGTGCAAAGGGAGGCAAACCAAATTTTACCAAAAAGGTGCCGTATCGCCAGCAGATGGTGCAAAATCAGCAGGTGCCGTATCAGCAGGTGAGTGATTTAGACCTTACTGAATAGTTGTATGTTCATAAATCGTGCATCATTACGAGGTCGGTTCAATTAGAGACATTTATTTGAATCTACGTTGTCCATTCTTAGTTTTGGTTACTATATACCATCTGTCTTTGACAACATATTAACCTAGCTTTGAATTGTTTAGGGAAGGTCATTATCTTAATAGCCAAACTTTACATTTAAGGACAATTCTACTTGAAGAGTCTAATTGTCCCTGTCCTGGTATGGTCTACGCAAAAAAGAAAAAAGTCTACAAGAAAAGGAGTTTTTATAGAAAAGCCGAATGTCATTTGAAAAACTCGTTCACAAAATGTAACAAATATGTTGCTGGTGATGTCAATTTCAGCGAACTGCTTGTTAGAATTGGATTTTTTTTCAAAGTATGGTGTGTCCATTCCTAAAACAAGAAATATGATTCATCAACGGCCATTCGCTTTTAAGAGACAATGTTGGGCTATTTTATTTCGAATCTCTTTTTAAGTTTAAGGTGGAGAATAATATTTTATTATTTTATACTTTTGAATAACAAGTACAAACACGTTGTTCATAAAATGAATCAAGAACCTTGGCAATATCAATTTCAGTAAACAATGAAAACCAGCATTGTTTCGGATGACTAAAAAAGACAAATGTATCCCTTCTGTAATGTGGGCTATATTGCGGATGTGGCATTAAACACGTGGACTGTACTCTGTATGGGAAATATAAGGGGGGGGGGTTAACGAGCTTGACTACCCATGAGGGTCTTGCACGGTCGGTATGGGAAATATAGGACTCTAATGTACTGTGTACGTGGTGCATTGTAATGACCAATTATTGACTTGACATTAGATTCTATGAGAATTGATAATTCATTATAGCAGTTTTTACCTTCTTCATACATTATTCTGTATTTAAATCTATGATTCTGTTTAATGAATAATTAATTACTATAGTGTATAAATTGCTTAATATGATTAATAATTCCATGGCATTGTCAGTTTATTTTCTACTTATGAGTTTGAATGTCCCTTTGGTATCTTTCGCCTCTCTTCTAAGATATAGTGTTAAAATATATACTGAACTCGTATAATAGTATGTACATTACTTTTTACATTGTCATTAATTTTACTTAAATTAAGTATAAGAGAGTGATAATCCAATTTCATGGAATTTGAGTTACCAAAAAAAAAACTTGCTAATTTCGAAAATCAAGAGCAGATTTGAGCTTCTTTAAAAATAATATTCTTTTATATGCATTTCATTAGAATGTACAATATACTTAAATATTGACAAAAATGTAAATTCAGATATTTTTTTATTACAATTTATTTATTTAGTTACTTACCCTTGATTACCACTAGACTGAGTGGAACAAATTGGCAATAAAAAAGTAAGCTCAGGATATTTTCTCAGATTTTATTTGCAAAATAGTCTCTGTATAAACATGTCAAAAGTATAAAGAGCATATTAATGTTAATGTCTGAACACTGCTCATTAGCACTACAGAAATGAAACACACATCATGATTGGTCAGATCTGTCACATGACTTAGTAGAAAACACACTATGATTAATTAGACCTCGGGTCATAAACACAGAATCTTTTTTGTGAAAATACTCTTTACATCTGTGTTTAGAAGAGTAGCAGTTCTACAAAAGAAACAGCTTTTTAAATATAAATAATAATTAAAATGTCAGAACATCTTCTTCTGGATCATATAAATTCAATCTAAAGTCTATAATCAAAAAGTACAAAAAAAGTTTAGTTTAGTACAAAAATCTCTATTTCACCCCGAGATCTAATGATTAATACATTATAATATCACCATAGAAACACTATAATACAAAGTGTTAGTTAAATGCAAAAACTAAAATATTCTAAAAGATGAAAACACTACTCATAAACTTATAAGATATATAACAAACAATACAGTATCACACATACTGCCACCTTTTATTTTACCATTCTCAATCATAACAAATCACATGACAAGTCACATGACAATATAACATGACAACAACATAATCTGAACTGGTAACTTATTGATTGTCTTATTTCAAATAACAATTTCAACATTTAATCTGGGACATACTACCAACAGTAACCATCACTATGTCTGCTTAAAGGCGGTTTTGAGTGAATGGTGTTTTTTGTTCAAAATTGCCAATACTTTTAAGGTACAATATATTACTGGAAAAAGATAAGCCCTTACAATAAATTCTGAATGTAAGTTGCCTTGTAACACATATTTTATTACCGTATTTTATTTTTAGTGGGATAGCGCTATTCACTCTCTAGTTTTCTGTACTGTATCCCCTGTATATATCTTAATCAATTAAAACACAGTTGAAGTGAACACACTCCTTCCCATGATCCCCATTACAAGTCTGAAACCGTGTTTTCATAATTGAACTAATCATTCCATAAATAAGCATGTACAATGGTATCTTCCAAGAACACTAAAAAATATTTATATTGTCATTTAGTACACAAAAAAAGAATAAACTGATATATGAACTACTATCTCCTTAATGATTAAATGTATTGTTATTTGATTAATATTTTTGATTTTAAAAGTTTGGGGCACTTATGTGTTCATTCAAAGCACCATTTCAATGATAATATTTGATTATGCATAACATTTACAGAATTCATCATACCTATTTGCACAGAAAACTTTATGAGTTTGGGTGAAAAGAAAAACACAATGAAAAGTTTTCTTTGGGTGAGGAATATTGCATAAACATCAAATATGAGTTTGATAATTCAAAACTGGCATATTTTATTTTAAAAAGGTTAAACTTGGCATATTTTATTATAAAGGTTAAAACATGGCATATTTGTTAAAGATTCAAACATTGCACATTTTATTATAGGTTAAACTTGGCATATTTGATTGAAGAAATAAAACCACCTGCATATTTCATTAAACCTAGCATATTTTATCAAAAGTAAGCAGTTAATTTGTAGAGTTGTTAAACAGTTTTTACCCTGTGCCAAACAAATTAAACAAGTAGTGATATTAAGCCATGTGATACCTTAACTTTGGAAATCTTATAACAATAAAAACATCACTTTAATTACTTAAAAAATGGATTGTATAAATGTTTTCACCTAACCAAAACTGTATGCAATAGTAAATTATTAGTAAAAACACACATTTTGACTTTGTACTCTTGATTATGGAATTTTAATGTAAAAAGCCAAAAAATGAAAAAAAGTTGATCTGGTCAGTACAAAATTTCGTACTTATCTGTTGTTAAGATGTTCAAACTTTTTATAAAGTGTTAAATAGGAACATTTTGTTCATGCTGAATGCTACCTTTAATTGCCACATGTTGGACATCAATCTATAATCATTTAAATATAAAAGAACAAAGCATTGTTACTCACATAAAGGCCATAATACAGAGATTCTCAGCTCCTCTTGGCCAATATTTAAGACTAAAAAATAATTCCGATTTTGATTTCTGGCTGTTTTCTAAAATTTGCTTTAATTTTCACAAAATTTGACCAGAAAAACAGATGATAATGAAATTTCCAACCAACCACAATTTAAATATAAAAGTTTGATGACAATTTAGATTTTTTGATGGCCTAACCTTATATAGTTTTACTTGAACTTGATCATTTACTGAATAACAATCCATAAAGTATACAATAGATCATAGAGTTTGCTATAAGACTCAAGCTAAATATTATATGGGTAATAATAATGATGATGAAATCGATGACAATATTGAACACATTGATATTAGAGTAAAATGCAGAATTTGTGACTATTATTCTATATAAGATCAACAGAATGGATGGACGGCAGTCAGAATTGTTGACTCATAAATTTTCAATAATAAACAATTTTTAACAAGAGTAAATATTTACAATGGATTTCTATTATATATGGTAAACAAAGCTATTCAGATAAACAAGTACTCACAAATATATATTTATACAAATTATAACTAGAAAGAAATATAAATATGTAAAACATAGTTTGAGTATAAAATACATCAGGAATGTGGAAATTCTATAATATAGTCATTGGATTTCATGTTATATTCCTATTCAAACTGTATATTGAATAACAACTCATGTAAAGATCAAATCTTGGTCTTAAGCAATATTAATTCTATAATTTGTTCGCTAGGAATGTGTAATTAAAATTTGTTCAAAAACAATACAACATAGTTATTAAACTTATTTGCAAACAGAATTAATTCTAATTTGTTCATCATTTTGAGGAACCAGTACATATATTTCTTAAATCGAACAAAATTAGTCAAATGAAAACAGTTAGAAAAAGAAAAAAAATAACAACAACAAAACAAAACAATAAATAGGTAATTTTCTCCACAGTGGAAATTTTTAAGGTTTATCTCCCTTTCTTAAAAAAATTATTTTTAATCTTCTTAAAACTGCATTTTAAGGATGTATTCTTCTGACGTTTCAGTCTCGTTGAAATTTTGTTCTAGAATTATTTCCAAAACATGTGATACAAGAAGAAAATATCAATGAATTTAAAAAATATTATAATCAAACTTAAATCTGTGAAAAAATTTTGCTTTTACAAAAAGTAGTTTTTGAGTAATAAAATTTTCAAATTTTATTACCAATCGAGTCCGTCTCATTAGCCAAATGTTGAAAAAATGGGTGAGGGATACAAGAAATGATTTTACCAGAAACATGTGCATCCCATATCAATTTTTTCGTTTCAATTTTCTTAGATATGTATTTTTCAATCATTTATAACAAAGAAGTTGAAATTATATGCTTTTTGTTCTAAAAAAAGAGAAAAATCCAAAATTTACAAAACTGACAGCAAGGTAAATTTGACACAAAAAGGCAACAAAATTTTATAAAACTTTCTTATATTAACACCTACCTATAGTTTTTTCTAAGTCAAATTTATTCAGATTGGTCCACTTCATCTTTATTGAAAGTATGAAAAAAAGTTTAATTGTGAAACTGTGATTTTTTTCTAGATAATAGCCCAACAATGGGTAAAAAATGATGAAAAATGGGAAAATTGTCAGAATTGGGTACTTTCAAGTGGTCGTAGCAAAAAAAAGAAGTGCACCACAATATGATTTTTTCTTCACCAATTATTTTTTTAGAGTCATTTAAACCCAAAAATCAGGTAAAGAAAAAAGTTTAATTCTAGAAATTTTTGGCTCCTCAGAGGTGTACATCCTTAAACAAATTTGAAACTTTGAAAAACAGCAGTTAATCCTGGAAGGTTTAAATTTTAATATGTATATAAAATGATGGTTTTTACATAGTAACAATATGTATGTCTGTAGATAACAAATGTAGTAGGACTTCTTCATCTTCAAAATGTTAACAAAATTCAACAACAGTTTCACTCCCAACTGAGAGTAACTCACATATATAGGATTAATAAATGCAAACTTTTATATATAAATAATAAATGCAGGATATTAGTAGATTTATCATGGATTTCAATATCACAAAAGCATGAACTGTGTTGTGTATATACATACATAATATATCACATTATCACCATATTTAGTTTCTACAGCAGTTAGATTAAACACTATATATAAATGTCTAGAAAACTGTACAAACATCTATTGTCATATATAATAATATTGAATAAACTTTGAGATAAAAAAATTCAGATCTATTAGGTAAAAATATAATATAAAAATCTGTCTTTTGCATAGATGCTCTTCCGATAGCTAATCTTTTATATTTGATTGCAGGTACGGTTGTACATATCATTTCAAAAATTAAATTATTTACTTTATAGCTGTCTAGGGAGAAATATAGAAAAATATAACAACTGTCTTGAGGGTTTCAAACTCCTTTTTAGTATGAGTGACTACTTTATCACTTTAGTCTGAAATTAGAATCTAATATCATTAACAGACATACAGATTTCATTGGTTTATATTCATTAAAGTTTCACAAACTTCATCCTAATTTTTTATTACATATCCTTATAATTGAAAACAATGGGACTGCATTTTTTTTTCATTTTGAGCTTAGCCATCATTTCTTTTCAATCAAGCATTTATGCAAAAGTGTTAATATAAAATTGTATCTGAATGTAATAGTATAAAACTTTCTCTGATATAGCCTGCCCTTTTTTGATTGTCTTTAGGATTCCATGAGATAACTTTACTAAGGCTAAAACAAATATCCAGTGGTCTTTACGACTCCATGCCATGGGATAATTCTACCAAGGCTAAAGCAGATATCCACTTGTCAGTTTGTTCACTCAGAGTCAGTTCTCTTGGTTCACATTTGATTTCTTCTTCAGGAACATGGAGGCCATAATCTGTATCCATCACAGGTTGATATGTAACGAAATCACTGATTGGTTGATGTGCATTACAGTCCTCTATTGGTTGAACACCATTGAACATACTGTATCCATTATAAGGATCATATGAGTGTTGTAGATTATAGTAGTTTTCCTCCATCTGTTGGTATCTGTAAGTGTCTTTCATGATATGAGGATTTTCCATTGGAGGACTATAGTCTTTCTGAGTATAATCTTTAGTAGAGAATTCAGTATTGTTGTTGTTATGATATAGGTACACAGGATGTGGATAGGCTTGTGGGTAAATTTGTGTATCTATGCTTGGTTCAGGTGAAGTATTGCTATCGTCTAAGGATGGTTCTGGGGAGTTACTGTTTTCAGAAGGATTTGGACGGAATCGTTTCTGTAATCGTGAGCGGTAACTTCCTCTGTCTTGTCGAATGCCAATTTGCCTGAAATTAAACAGTTAAATCATGTTATTTACATCCTCAATCCTTTGTTCTCTGTAAGATAGTGTCTCATTATCCATCATACAATGTACCACATCTCCTTATATTTTTATATTACACATATAAACAGCAACAATAGTGGAACATTATTATTCTGAAGAAACTAAGCTTTAAATAAATTGTGCCCAAATATCCACCAGCTGTTAACTCATAATATTTGAAGCCTTAAACAAAATTGATCTAAACTACATTTATCTGCAAGAAGAGTTTTTAGCTGGAAGGTACGCAAGACCAGCTGAACAAATAATCAAGTAATAAAACTTTATGATCTAAATATTGACTTCCTTTTTTTGTCTTTGACATCACTGAATGTCTTGTCAGGAGCAACAGGACTGGTGCCATAACTGGAGCCTGCAGGAACTCATCATATCCTTCAGGAACACAAAGTTTACTATGAATTTTGGTTCCATTTAGTTTTGTGTATAGTGCTTGTGGATTGTTGTATGTCTAATCTTTTTTTCTTTTGGCCATTTATTTGTCTATCTTTTTTTTATTTGTCAATTTAATATGGTAGATATCTATGTATACTATTTTGGTCAGTAGAGGACAACAATTGGTTCTAATGGAATGGACAATTATTACAAACATGTTGTCAATTAAAAAAATCAAGCATCTGTCTGAGTTTCACAGTTAGGTTGCTTTTATAAAAAAACAGTTGGATTAATTATTTAACTCTGTCTATAAGTTAACAATGTGGAACAATATATATGTGTAAAGGATAGAGAGATCAAATGTTAAGAGCTATCTTAACTCTATAAGGTCACCATGTAATATTTCATCTGGTGAGAAAGTTGCCTCATAGCCTGCATGGAAGCTATGCCACTGGTTATACTGGAAGATCTTTATATAACCACACGATTGATGTGTAGGTCACAAGATTAACAAGTCTGTTTTATCTTATTTCTACATACCTGTCCAGCCAATCTCTAATGTCACAGTTAGCTTCAGCATCTCTCATTTTCTCTAGGTCTTCCACAGCAATTTTGGCCGAGATTCTTTGTAGGGAGGCATGAGGGTGATCAGGACAATGTCTGTTGGCATGTGTAAATCTCATTAGACATCCTGAAATACAAAACTACATTTAGAAAAGTGTTCACTACATTTTTGAGTCCTCAGACTCAAATTATCACATTAAAATGATTCTCTATTGTTAAACTTTAATGTTCATCCTCAAGGCTTTACTGGTAAGGGTACTCTGGTAATATCAGAAATTAATTTCTCTAGGATTTTGCTTTTTAAAGATACTGTTTCCTAGAAAAAAAACTTTCCTTGTTGCTTGGATGCTTTAAATGGGAAAAGCACTGAAACTTGGGCACAAGTTGAAAATTTACACTTTCATTTTACAAAAAAATAGGCTAGCAGAAGTTTAAAGCACCATTGCATGTGAAACATTGGATAATATTCTGATCCACTTAACTAAAAAAAGTTCAAAAATTTGAAACAAAGTAAAAGAAACAATGTAAACTGTGTATGAAATACTATAAACTGATTCTAGATCATCGAGTTAATAATACCACTTACCTTCTCCCGTACACAGAAATGGTTTTTCTCCTGTATGGAGCCTCTGGTGGGTTTTAAGTTGACCACTTTGACAGAAGGATTTGTTACATCCTGGATAATCACACAAGTATGGACGTTCACCTAAGAAAATATCACACAATTTAGCAATGTATAAAATTAAACATTTTGCTTATTGATTTCAAACTTCTAAATCACTAGAAAAATCCAAAGCAAAGAGACATGTGTACCAATAAAATATAAACCGGTAACATAAGAAAACTGTGTACCAATAAAACATATAAACATAAGAAAACTGTGTACCTATAAAACATATAACATAAGAAAACTGTGTACCAATAAAACATATAACATAAGAAAACTGTGTACCAATAAAACTTATAACATAAGAAAACTGTGTACCAATAAAACATATAACATAAGAAAACTGTGTACCAATAAAACATATAACATAAGAAAACTGTGTACCAATAAAACATATAACACTAGAAAACTGTGTACCTAAAATTTGTCTGATCTTTATCTGTATCAAATTATTTTTTGTATAAAAACAAAAAGTAAAATAACAAAAATATTGAACTCCAAGGGAAATTCAAATCGGAAAGTCCCTTATCAAATGGCAAAATCAAAAGCTCAAACGAATGGAAAACAACTGTCACCTGACTTGGTACAGCCATTTCCTTATGTAGAAAAATGGTGGATTAAACCTGGTTTTATAGCTAGCTAAACCTCTCACTTGTATGACAGTGCATAGAATTCCATTATATTGACAACAATGTGTGAGCAAAACAAACAGACATAATAGGTAAAAATGTCAATAATTGTTTTGTTTGTACAAAATGACCCGTCTATTCTCTTTGATAACTATACCCCTTGTCCTCATCATTCATATCAATAAGTTCTATCTACGGGGAAAGTCGTATTTTAAGTTATAGTTTTAAAGTTGGGTTAGCGAGAACAGTAAAGATTCTGTTCCTAAAAGTCTGACAATGTCCGGTTTAAAAAAAAGGGTGGAAGTTAACATTTAAATTATGTGTTGAATGTCTGCTTTTCTATAGTATCAATACATAAATCCTCCTTTCTTGCAGAAGAAAATGTTAGTACAATATTATAAACCTCGAGCCTAAAATCTATTCAATGTATTTGCATATCAACTTTTTATGCGAACATCCAGTAAACCAACTAACTTTGATGCTGTTTACCGAACCATGAGTCATTAGAATCGAACTAAATCTGCACAATTATAGATATAAAAAGGTAAACTGAAAATAAAGTCGAAAAACTGAACAGAATGTGAAATTGTTCTGTAGTATCAGTACAACAATATAACGGAGTTGTGTTTGCTTTCCAGTTGACTGGGCTACGACCGATTCACAAATTGGTTTAACACACAATCTGAGTTTTCAAACAAAAATGTGCATGCAATCCTTGTCCACCCTATTAGTGTAGTTTACGGTATTTCAAGACAAAAGTACTTGGGTAAAGGATAGGATTTACCTACCTACCTATTTTAAGCCAAACAATGCCTACCCTTAAGTCTTGGTAGTGAATCATGACAGTGTTGCAATTATCCCCAAAATCTCAAGTACAAAATGACTGGGAATAAAAGATCAGTCAGTGTATTAGTCCCAGAAAATGAGCTTAATAAAGAAAATTCTACCGACCTACCCTATAATTTTCTTACGGTTTTATATGTTTCTGATATGACTGTGTAGTGTGATATAAAATAAAGAAAATATGGTATGATATAAAAATAAGGAGATGTGGTATGATGGCCAATGTGACAACTCAGTACATCTAACAGAGTACAACAAAGTTGATTTAAGCACGCAACTATATATGTAGGTCACCATACGACCTTCAAAACCCATATTGTAAAGTAGGCTATAAAAGGGCCCCGACATGACAAAATATGAATCAATTCAAACGAAAAAAATGTTTCCTTTCATATTTAATTTTTAATTTTTCGGATCGGACCCTATGAAAACCTATGAAAGGTGGTGTTCAAGTACAATAAAATGAACATTGCGGTGGTGCAATCTGAAGTTTTGTATCCTTTTTTTAATGCATATATATATATATGGTTTTATCGTGATGTTAAAAATAAATCAAGTAGATCAATGTGTGTGTGCAATTACGGGCATGTAATTGTTAAAATTTCACAATTTTTGTAATCTTTTGTTGGTAATCCGAACAGATACTCTGCAAACTGCGTGTTCAAAGGAATATAAAATGTACACAACACACTTTACAAAAAACTACAGAACAATAACGGTTCAGTTAACTATATCTCCTTTTGTCCTTGGCCTATCCTGCTTAATCACTCGTAAACCTTACTTAGTCATACAAAGGCCATTCAAAAATACACAAATATTACTTGATATTTTACTTCAATATTTTAGTTAGTAAAATATTATAAACCTCGAGCCTAAAATCTATTCAATGTATTTACATTTCAACTTTTTATACGAACATCCAGTAAACCAACTAAATTTGATTCTGGTTACCGATACATGAGTCATTAGAATCGAACTAAATCTGCACAATTACAGATATAAAAAGGTAAAATAAAAAGGTAAACTGAAAAGAAAGTCGAAAAACTGAACAGAATGTGAAATTGTTCAGTAATATTAGTACAACAATATAACGGAGTTTTGTTTGCTTTCCAGTTGACTGGGCTACGACCTATTCACAAATTGGTTTATTAAACAATCCGAGTTTTCAAACTTCAATAAATATTGACCAACAGTATTGCATAATATCTTGTCGAGTATAAATTTTGTAATACAGGTAGGTGTATTCCGTGAAACTACGTCAACTGTTAAACATTTCCACGAAATTACGGTTCATTTCGCAAGAATAAATAGCTCATACAATAGCACTGATAAAATTGAAATTATTTTCATACTTTATGTACCTATTAGATTGGTAACAGTATAGACACATTATAATTGAATGGTAACAGAAAAATCATGTATCCCGTTAAGAATACAATTACGCCATTATAAAAGAGCTTCAGGGCTATATACACATAAACTATCTTATTCTAATTAGGAAAAAATAGATAAAAAGTCCACAAATCACAATACATGGAAAAAGTAAAGATGAGAAACGATGACGAACCAGTCTGCTTATATATACAAATGGTTGATGGAAGCGCAAATAATTACTTTAGAATCCCAAAAGGAAAGCAGAACACTATGCAACTGGATGCAATGTAAGCTATCGCGGTATCTTTTTCATATCCCTTGAATTAAAAAAAAATCTATATTTAAAATGGTCGAATGTCTTAAGTATAATAAATGGACATTACAAATGACATTTTGTACCTAAGTGAAAAAGTTTTGAATGTTTTTGCTACTTCGAGGACACTTATCTTGCATGTACCACGGGGTTTTCCTGTATATTACGTAATTAGTCTTTCAAAATGCTTAATGGGTCTCAATAAAACAACGCTAAGAAGCAAATATCGTAGGCATTGTCAATATACGCTGGTTTTGTTCTGTTAAATCATTTTGGGTATTGTAACTTTGTTTTTTTAACTCGAGCAAACTTTTGAAAGTGACAAGCAAAAATAACATTTTCGTAGTCATTGTCCTCTACCATTTTCATTTTTAATAAACAAAGTAGGCCAACAGTGGGTAGGCAAAACATAGTTTTGACCCCCCCCCTTTCCCGTCGACATCTATGATGGTCTTATACATATAGAATAAAACATCGTGTGGGACTAGTGATCACGGGTTAAAACTGACGAAATGGAACAAGTTTTGACAAACAAAAAGTATAACATGCTCGTTATGTTTAAAATATGCTGACAACATACGGATCTTATTTGCTTATTGGTCTGTGACGAGCCTTCCGGGTATATATGATGTAGAATTTATAAATAGCTTGTTAAGGGAATACCCTTTTACTCCAATAAAAACTTTTAAATGGACCTTCTCGGCTGCTGAAAACAAAATTAAATGGTTATATCGGATTTAAATGTCTTTACACGTGCTCTAAAATTTAAATGTCTCTGAAAGTGCAACTTTCGGTTTAAAAAGATATTGAGCATTTAAATTTTTATTTGTACCTCAAAACATACGGTAATAAATTTAAATGTCCCAAATGATGAATTTAAAGGCTTGAAATGTTGAAAATTTCTAACATTTGTTGGGTAGAATTTGGTAGAAGAAAGACAAGGTACGGGAGTGAAAAATAACACCACTAAAAATCAGGTAAGACGATTTACACAGGTAAAATCCGTGATCAATATAGGTGTAATACTGGGACGCGTTCAAACACATCTCTTGTCTTTGTAAATAGGTATTTTGTGTTGTGTTTGTTTATTTCGTTGTTGCTAAAGAAACCCGTTACAAATGGATTGAGACAAAGTGCTCTTTAGTGGTTTAACATGCGTGTAACGGGACCTCGACCATGACGAAAAGAAAGGGGCGGGACTTTGTTAAAAAGCCAGGTAGCATGTTAAAGCTTGAAGATAATGGTGTACTGTTTGATCTCCTATTACCTGTCTGCTTGACGACACAGTGGATCAACGAATTGATCGATCGGCCATTTAAATATCACCCCAATTAAATTTTGATTGGAAATATTCGTACATGTAGTAGATTTAAATTGGAGGTTTAAATGTCTGCAACAAATATAGATGTAAACAAAGATTAATATTAATAACATTACAACGTGGTTTGCACTTCACAAATATTATATTCATGATTCTACTTTTGATTTCATTACCTGTCCCAGTATTAAATTACATTAGACGTTTCTCACATGTTACATAACTTCAACTGTACATGTTTTACTAAAATGGTCAATGTACCGTAACTATTCCAACTGTAGCAATTGAATAATTTCCAATCAGTAACCTCTTCTGAAAACACTGATGTTTATAGTAATAATAAACTTAAATTCCATGGAACTGTCAAATAGTTACTTTGAAAGCCAAGATTTTTCTGATTTCACAAGTTTGACACTTTTTGGTTTGGTCAGTAAATAGTAAATTATCAACATCACATGCATTTTTTTCAATAAGTAAAATAAATTAAATACTGACCTGTATGCGTTCTCATATGAGCTTGAAGAGATTTTTCTCGAGGAAAAACCCGATTACACACATGACAACGTATTCCACTGTGGGACACTGCACCTTTGAAGATCAATGAAGTGATTAGCTCGGCCCTTGGACGTCCTCTCTTCATATAATCTTCTAAATCAGCTGAATCTTCATCAGGGGAATTCCTATCCATATTTGATGCTGGTTCAATTATAGATTCTGGTTTACTTTCATCTTTAAATCCCCACGACGGCATGGTTAAATCACTTCTTTACCTTTCGTTGTGTCACCCTTGTTCATAGGTATTTAATTCTTACCTGTATAAACCCGTTATCGTGCCAACTGAACTCCACCAATCGGGTATGTGGTATAAAAATAGATCTAAAAAAAGGATTTCGTGGTTTCCCCGTCGTTGCTATGCATTGTGGGATATAAATTACAATTTCTTAAAACACCTTATTTTGAGTCTGAATTAAATTTTGCATGGCGACTGTTGTTTTTCATTATCCTCTGAAATTGTGAAAATATGACATATCTAGTGGCAAAACTGCGGCTATAAAATTTCTTTGACTTACTCCCGCCAAATTTCTATATATGGAACTAGAAAACAACCTTGAACTGTCGAAACTCTCGGGTTTTTATCTTACAACTAACGAAGGATTTTTCCTCCGAATATTCTAATTCCAAAGCATGCTCATAGTGTCTGGAGAGAAACACGCCATTTTGTAGCACCTTAAAAAGTAAGGCCGTAAAAATCCATTGCCATCCTCTGCATCAAGAGGAACAATGGACTCGCAATACGGCATAGCAGTGACGAATAAGTTCTGTCTTTTTGACGACGATGATGATGTCGATCCATATGAAATCCTTAAGCAAGAGGAACAGAAGAGAACCGAGGCTTTAGCGAAGGAGAAAGCTGACAAGTCTAAACCAACAAAAAAGTCTAAAAAGACAGCACCACAAACCGATAACAAGATTAAACTGACAGAGCAAAACACACAAAAGAAAGAAGGTAATAATTGTATTGTGCAGCAATGATAATTTGCATTGTCTTGATTGTTTAGAAGGTAACCCTGTTTGACATTTGTTTACAGATAGCACGCTTGAAGTCCAAGATAAATTGTTAAAATTTGTTATTTTTCTTCACATTCACATGTAAAGGCATGATAACTGGTTACATGCTGTACCAGATTATAGATATATACAGTGTATATTTCAATGATACTGAAGTCCAATTTTATGTTTCTCGTGTGTTCTTTACCATGTTTGGTGATGTTCCTCCATGTTCTCTGATCCTGAACCTAGTTATATGTCTTTCAGGGAAACAAGTGTAATATAGTTTATGCTATTAAAGTTGGGATGTAATTTGTGAATGTTTTTGTCGTTTTTGGTTTCACATTATTTGACACACAGCATAGTAAAAAATATTGCTACAGATGATCGGTTATGATTGATAAACCAGCTAACTCTTTATCATACATGATACAGTTGTGTATAAAAGAACTAAAAGGAACACGAATGACATTGTTGATATGCTTAATCAAAAAATTTCAAGAAACCCATTTTATAATTATCAATCATCAGAACATCACTACCAAAATGTTTTAAAAATTTACAATTTTAATTTAAAACACACGAGTAAAATATATGTCATGTTCAGCTCTTCTGTGAGAAGATACATGATGTGTCTTGATTAGTGACCATTGTGTCCTTGTTAGATATCCCAGGTGTCCACAATCTTTCTGGTACCAAATTCAATGTACTCCTGGAGTCCAGCCTGTCAAATTTAACTATTGTTAAAAGATTGCATAAATTGCCAAGATTTCTTTGCCAGGTACTACCTGCAGCTGTGTTTTTAAATGGATACTCGCTAAATAGCCAGTCTGTGCCAATAACCTCTAGCAGAGACATATAATACATGTATTATATGTCTCTGCCTCTAGACTCAAGACTGACTAGCAAAAATGTAATTAAAAAACTGCTGGAAATTCTACAGCTTTTGATTGTGACATTACCTTACTTTTCAGTCTTGTCACACAAACAAAAATTGGTTGATAATAAAAAAAGATATATAATATCAATCGAATATATACAATAGAGCATATAAAGATAAATTTCCATGATACAACAAAACCATTATAGTTAAGGGATTCATTGGTTATAAAAATAGTAGTAAGGTTATAAAAACCGTAAAATAATTTTTATTTTCCAAATTATATTTACATTCTATGGATCATTTATTTCCTTAGGTATTTGATTTCATGGTTTTGTTATAGCTAAGAGGAAATTTCGTTTATGATTTAAATTTGTGCTTCATCTGAAATGTACACAGGAAATCCACAAAATTGGGTACTCCACGAATAATTAAATATCCTTAGTGTAAGAAGGCTATGTGATTAAATAAATAGGAAAACAATCTACTTCATCATTAATTGACCATAGTCCAAACAATTTTTTTATACGCCCGTTTATGGGACGTATTATGGTATACCGTTGTACGTCTGTCCGTCCGTCCGTCGTCAACATGTCGGACATTAACTCAAAAACGCTTTTACCAATTTGCTTAAAACTTTGGTGAATTGTTTATATCTATTGACGTGAGCTCCCTTTCGTTTTTTATAAATTTTAGATTTTATGTTTCCGAGTTATGGGGTTTTATTCATTAAAAAAAGGGGGATTTTCCTGTTTTTGGACAATAACTCGAGAATGCTTTCACCAACTTGCAAGAAATTTTGGTTAATTGTTTATATCTATTGACATGAGCTCCCTTTGGATTTTTATAAATTTTAGATTTTACGTTTCCGAGTTATGGGGTTTTATTCATAAAAAAAAGGGGGATTTTCCAGTTTTCGGGCAGTAACTCAAAAATGCTTTCAGCAGTTCTCATGAAACTTTGATGAATTGTTGATATCTATTGATGTAAGATCCCTTTAGAATTTTATAAATTTTATTTGTTTATAGTCCGACAACAGATTTACTAAGTATTGCGCAACAGCACAGTGTATTGCACAACAGCAAGAAATCTTTAATTGAATATAAATTCAATTCATATAACCAACTTCAAGTTCTTTGACTACATTTATTCAGAAACCTATAATAGATGTATGTCAAATATTTACTAACAATCCAAATTCAGACCTGTATCAAGCTTGAATATTGTGTCCATTTTTGCCCCAACTGTTCAGGGTTAGACCTTTGCGGGCGAATCCAGCTGCGCTCAGCGAAGCAGTTTATTAGAGTAGGCATAAAATTAAAGGAAAATTCAGAAGAACAACCTTTAAAAAATATGCATTTTTACCTGGCCTGATAAGAAGTGATACTTAACAAATAGTGTGAAATGGGGAATTTTATAAGCTCCCCTATCCTTGGAATTGTCCATTTTGGATTTGCACTAATTGATCACTGTATGTTTGATAAAATAGAATCCTTATTTACAATTACAGAAAAGGTGGTTCCATCCCAAGCTAGGACCCAGCAAAATGAAAGGCCCCCAAGGAGTGCAAGACAAAACAGAGAAAACAGAGAACCAAGGGAAGATAGACGGCCAAGAAGACCTGAAGAAAACTCATCTATGACTAACGAACCAAGGTATAAATATATCGGTTTTATTACATACAAATAAAAAAAAACTGATATGGACAAAATTAAACAATAGCATTAACATTTTTGCTTTGTTCATTGACTGATCATATATATGTCAAACTACCAAAGTGTAAGATGATGGAAACACTATGAAAATATTTCCTGGCTTGATTCCCAAAATAATTTTTTGTGTCAGCATGTTCAAAAATCTTGTCAATGCTGAAAGAAATGTCTGATCAGGTACCTCTATAAACTTTATAGTACACATTTTGTAGTTGTCATGGAGTGTTGTGTCTGAGAACTGGATGGCTTTCACCAACAAAGTTGGATTTTTCTTCTGCCAGGTTTTTCAAAGCAGGATTCCGTATGAATAATGGGATATTATGGGTTTTCAAAAATGAGACAGCAACCCAACAACAACAAATACAGGTGTACATCAGTCATCTTTAATATATATTGGACTTAAAAATCACCAGTGTCTAAAAAGTAGTAAATAAATTGAACAGAAATTATCAAAAATCTTCCATCAACTCCTAATTTTTAAAATACCAAAAAAAAGGCATGAAGATTTATATGACTTAAAACAAAAGATAAGGTTGCTGACTTGAGACAACAAATGACAAATTTCCTGCCATGGGACAACTATTTGTATTGTTCTTTACTCGAGACAACAACACTCGAGGCTCCCGACTATAGACAACTACTGACAGAACTAAAAGCAATGACGCTTTTTGTCTGTCCAAATCAATTTGACTATCTGACCAGCTCAAATGTGATAAAGGTGGACCTGATGGAATTTTGGCTGTCAGGACCAGGTGTGTTTTTGCAAAGTGACATCTGACAAGGTTCCTGAGACGGCTCTTAACAATTTTCCTGATTTGGGACAGATGTATGTTTCAATTGTCATAACCACAGTCCTCTTTTCCTCGGATATGATCTACCAAATTAGACTTATCACCAAGACTGGTGCCACATGTGGACCAAGATTTGTTTACCCATCCTGGGCACCCAATATCACCCCTGGTTTCATGTTGCTAAGTCCCTGGTTTTCTATGTTGTGTTTTGTAGACTTGTCAGTCTTTTTTATGCCCCCGCCGTAGCGGAGGGGGCATTTTTTACCCTTGGGCGTCTGTACATCCCAAAATTGGTTACCGTGCTCAAACTTTAGTTTGCTTCAACCAAATGTTCCGAAACTTGTACACAATGCTTGTTACCACAAAACACAGCTCAAGTTTGAATTTTGCTGGCGTCACTTTTACCGTTCTATAGTTATGCCCCTTTACAAAGGGAAAATTGCTGAATTTTTCGTTTCCGTTCTCTAACTTAAGTTTGCCCCAACCAAATGTTTTGAAACTTATTCACAATGCTTGTTACCACAAAACTCAGATCAAGTACGAATTTGGATAGTGTCACTTTTACCTTTCTTGAGTCATGTCCCTTTATAATGTTACATGCAAGCAGGAGCATCATCTGTGTCCCATGGACACATTCCCCATTTATTGTTTTTTGCCATTACATTGTCAGTTTGTTTTTCAGCTTGTGAGTTCGATAAGACGTCCACTGACAAGGCTCCAGAGTGACTGTAGACAACCACTGAAAGTTTCTCGACTAGTGATAGGCGTCTGAATGAGACAGTTTAAACTAGATTTTGAGATCTCAAACTCTTCCCCTTTTAAATCGCAATCAGTATAGGAACAAAATATGTTTATACAATATAAATCAATACCAGGAAAAACAATTACATGTTATTAAGACCACAAAAACATTACAACATCCATGGATTGTAAGCAACCAACCAAAAAACTTAAAGTTGTATAATATTATACTGTGGATTCTTTATTATTTTCGTTGGATACCAATTTTCGTGGGTTTTTGTGGGCACAGGGGCTAGGTGAACCACGAATTCAAATGTTCAACGAATAACATTTTCAATATGCTTTGTATACAGAGATTATCAAATATCCACGAAAATTCAAGTTTCCAGCAATCCACGAAAATAGATGCCCAAGAAAATAAATGAATCCACAGTAAAGAATTTGACATTATCAAAGAATACTGGCTGATACTGAAAGTTTACATTTTGTACATGTAGGTATGAATACCTATGGACAGGCATTTTATTGCTCAAATATGACATACTGTCGCGTGCTCATGCAAAAACTTCCCATAGGAAACATATTTTGTATAACAATCCTGTTCCATTGATTTTAGAGACAAGCCAGAAGGTGGGTTTGGTAACAGGATGGAATCGAGAGGAGGATTTTCCGGACGACCAAGAGGACGAGGTGGTCCTAGGGGTAGAGGGCGGGGTGGCTTTGGTGGAGGAGGATTTGGTGGAAAACGTGAATTTGAAAGACACAGTGGAAGTGATAGAACGTAAGAATCGATATCTATCTTTCTGTTTGGAATAGCTTTAACTGATTCAGTAACTTGGAAAACTGGAATATAAGACTTTTTTCCAGTGAAGGTGCATTTGAATTTTAAAATTAGGGAACATCAATAACAAAAATTGGGTGGGTAGGGATGCTGGCAATTCAATTTTATATTATTTTTGTTCAAGAAACATAGTCATCACACAATCACTGTTGCATTGTTTATTGCCATGTAATGTTAAAAACTATTGGAAATAGAATTTTGGAATATATTATTAAAAAACACTGTTTTATGTGAAAATAGGGTTGGTCTGGTAACAGTATAGTATACACATTTATTTTTGATTGCTTAATGAAAATTAGTCAATATTTGAAATTTACATACATGTAGGATGTTATATAAACACAGAAGGTACCTTCTTCTTTCATAGTTTGTAGAGGTATCTCATTCAACATTTTGAAACACAACTAGTTATTTTCAAAGTCTGACTTACTTTGAAACAGCAAATTAGATTATCATATTCTCTATGAATCATTGCAGTCCAAAGAAGATTTCTGATTGAAAAGAGTCCTTAGAACACAGAAGTATCCCAGTGTTTTTAAGTTTCTAAATTTTCTATAACCCATACAGATTATACCAGTATTTAATACTTCTAAGGCCAAAACAATTGTATGATAACAGATGCATCCATGAAAAAATGGGGTTGGCTCGTCAGCATTTCAATTTCATTTTAATTTTCCTTTTATTGATCAATCAGGTAACACAATCATCACACAATAGTAATTTGCAGCATTTTCTGCAGTTCAAAGACAGAAATGTTACATAGAAAGAGAAAATTTTTGATAAATTGTTGAAAAAAGAAACACATTTACTTTATACTAATAACATTTACCGGTATTTTAAATTAAAATTTGATGTATTTTATTATGTCGCCTAACAGCATCCAGCTGCAGCAACACACAGGGATCACTTCTTTTATGTTGTGTTGCCATCTATGTTACTGTATGTTGAATTTTACCTCCATGAAACTGCTGGACAGAACTTTAAGATATTTTTCTACACCACCAGAAGTCACAAACATGCTATTCAAATATTTGATCCCAGTGATTTTTGGGATGTCCCTTACCAAGACAAGGACTACATGTATTATTTAGAGATAGAAGGCAATTACACCTACATCTTTTGTTTTTCCCACAGCGTTTGATTTTGAAAGCCAAATTGTTAATGAACACTAATTTCATGCCAAAAAAAAAAGAACTTGATCATTCATTTTCCTAAGATAGAAAAAATGTTAATGGTCAGGAATAAACAAATAAGTGACTTTCTGGTAACTACTTGTATAAACAAGTATATTGTTAATTTGCCTAACTGTTTGCTTGCATTGATTTTATTTTTGTACTGAAAAGTTAGTAATAGTTTGCAAATAAAAACTTTTTTTTCTTCCATGTTTTGACATAGCAGTGGTGTGAAGGCCATGGAGAAGAGAGAAGGAAGTGGAGCTCACAACTGGGGAACCTTTAAAGATGATCTGGATGAGTAAGTCAAGGGAAAGACAATGGAAACTAAGCATGGGTTTTCTCTGTGTTCACATGCTATTTCTACTCTGCATTAAAGTCCTGTTTCTAATACTTGATTTTGCATAGAATTTGGAATATTTAAATTTAATTTATGATAGGACATGGGTTAATCTTGGTGAGCTGACTTGTATGTCAATGGATTCATGTGCAATTTATAAACAATGAAGACCCTATGTAAGGCCCAATTGTCTGATTAGGGTTTGTTTATGTGGTTATACCCAAGAAAAAATGCAATAAACCAGAATTAAAAAACTCTGTATTCTTGGAACTGTTCCGGTAGGCTGAGCTCATTTGGCTGTGGTTTTATAATTAGGGCCCTGCCCTATAGTGATCAGTCTGTCCGTAACAAATTGTGTCCGCTCAACATCTAGAGAACCGTTATAATTTCATACTTTATACTTGACATTTATATTAACCAACACCAGAGGGTGTGTCATAATGTTTGTACAACTTCCTAGGTCAAAGTTCAAGGTCAGCGGGGCCAACAGAGATGGCTCCCATCTCAATGATGTCTAGTTTGTACTGGAGTTAAAACACGGCTTGAAAGATTTAGAAGTTCTTAAATATGTTTTGCAGTCAAACCAGCATGTAATGTGTTCATCTGTATAATGGGTAGAGAAACAGTCCAGCAATCAGCAACCCTCCCTTTATACTAGTACATCAGGATCATGAGGATTGAAAACTCCAAATCTGAGGTCCTTAATGGAGTTGTTTATATTGCATAGCTGATTTTCATTTCGGCAACCTCATTCTCATATTTTTGGTTTGAATGAACCAGAAGAGTCCATCATCTGTGGTCTACACTTTCACTTTTCGTCATCTGATTTAAACCAAACATGAAAGAAGTAAAAAAAATTATGGAATTTGTTTAAACCACTGTCCTCTAAAGGTATTTGATCTTGCAGGAGTCATTATTGAATAGTAGTCTAAAATACAGTGACCAAAATGGCTATATCTCAATTTGCTCTCCTTGGAACATATGGTGAAAAAGGATGAACTTGATGGCTTTTTATAAGTATTCTACTATAATTGGAAATATCTTTACTTTTTTCCATCCTGTCTGTCATCAACAGGGTTTTCACTTAGGATTTTTGAAGGCGAGTCCAGGGACTTGTCATTTTTTGGCCATGGCGAGTCCAATATTGAGAAGATGAAATTTATTGCAATAAAATTTATTATTATCAGTCTCCATGACAAAAAAGAGCATGGAAATAAAATCAAATCTAGATTATTTTAAATAAAATAATAATATATATGTTCTCAGTTGAATCTTGATACAACTTGTACCAATTTGATGTATCTTTGGACTAGCCAATTTTGAAAATGGTGAGTAGAGGACTCGTGGAATCGCCTTAGTGAGAACCCTGATCAATACGTAAAATTGATTGGATTTGTACATTACAAACTTTAATTTTTGTGAATTTACTTTATATTTTATTAGAGAAGCAAGCAAAGAAAATGAGGAACCCAAAGAATCATGGAACCAAGGAGAAGATGCAGAAAACCAAGACCCTAAGTATGACTTAATGGTCATCAATTAAAATACTATTGAGCACTCCTTATGATTTTATTCATATACATTACATAAATCATGTGTATAACACACCAGTAGTTAAATTATTTGCATATCAAAAGTTAAACAACTGATGCAAACTGATATGTTAACCCTTTAAAACCTTCAAATATCAATTACCCATTAAAGAATGAGAGTTAATGTGGTTTCATGTAATGAGACTAGATAAAGAAATACCTGCCAAACACCTTATATAGTTGGCACAAATCATTGGATGTGGGGACTACTAATCTTTGAAAAACCTCACAGATCTTGGTTAATTCAAAAAAGAAATAAATTTATCAAATCCTCCACTTTTTTATGAAGCTTTTCCAACATCAAAATCTTCAAATTATATAATTTGAAAATCTGAATTTGGAACCATTATGTGGGAGGGGGGTTTGTAAAATTATCTCATTATTATTCTTGTCACTAGGAAATTGCCTTCATATTTTTATCAGTTCCTCTTCAATTTTAATGAAGGTTTTCACTGGTCAAAAATTGGGATGAGTTCAATGATGAAAAAAAATTGAAATTGTCAACCTTTTGGGGGGAGATCATCACCATAAATCACTTAATCAAAATGGCAGTTTATTTTGGACCATGAGAGAAAATATTGAATATACATTAAAAATAATTAGTTTTTAAGTTGATAATTAATGCAAATTTATATTTAAACTTTAAAGAGAGAATAATATTAATATTTGACATTGTTTTAAAATGGTTAGTGAAAGCACAGAATCAACAGAACAGACCGTTGCAGAAGGTGACAAGACCCCAAAACAACTGACACTTGATGAATGGAAAGCCCAGGAAGAGAAAAAGAGATTAAAGACTGACTTCAATCTGAGAAAGCCTAATGAAGGATCAGATACATCCCAGTTGAAGGGTACTGCCTACAAGAAACCAGGAAATACCAGTGATGATGAGGAAGAGGAAGAGGATGAAGAGGTTAACATCTTGTTGATAGCTTGTAGTGTGATGTCTAGAGGTTAAAATCTCGTTGATAACTTGTAGTGTGATGTCTAGAGGTTAAAATCTCTTTGATAACTTGTAGTGTAATGTCTAGAGGTTAAAATCTCGTTGATAACTTGTAGTGTGATGTCTAGAGGTTAAAATCTCGTTGATAACTTGTAGTGTGATGTCTAGAGGTTAAAATCTCGTTGATAACTTGTAGTGTGATGTCTAGAGGTTAAAATCTCGTTGATAACTTGTAGTGTGATGTCTAGAGGTTAAAATCTCGTTGATAACTTGTAGTGTAATGTCTAGAGGTTAAAATCTCATTGATAGCGTGTAGTGTGATGTCTAGAGGTTAAAATCTTGTTGATAGGTTGTAGTATAAGGTCTCATTGATTTCTTGTAGTGTAATGTTTAAAGGTTAAATATAAAAAAGATGTGGTATGCAGGGATATAATTTAGTTTAAAATGTAGTTTAGACCACAGGGCTAGATGTTCCATTTTATATTGTGAATCCATCGTCCCTGTATCTAACTTAATAGAATATTTTGTCTTAAAGTTGAAATGCAAAAACTACTTGATTCATTGTTTCAAATATAAGTATGTCACAGATTTCTGGTGAAGGGACTGCACCAAAAAAGTTGTACCTTTTATTTGTTTATGTATGTATTCCCATCAATTCAAATTCATTGTTTTCTAAAACGAGTTTCAACAGATGTATTCAAACATTGACTGGCAGAGCATTGACTTTAAAATTTAATTTGTCAAAATTATCATCATGATCACAGGCTCGTTCAACTGCACTTTATATATGGCAGCTTGAGGTACATGAGTAAACTAAAAGTAACCTTGAACTTTATCAAAGTCATGTTCGCTCTTTAATATTCATTTGAAAAGATAGTATTATTTAAAGCATCGAAAAGATAATGAATTTTTATATAAAGAACAAATACCGCACGGAACAGAATTTCCGGAAATTGATAAATGCAAATTGTCTAGAGACACAGTCTATGATGAAACAATTGAGCCTACCTGGAGGGTAATTATTTTAGACTCGGGCTATCGGTCCTGCATTAATTTCAAACCCTGGGTATGATTGCCAATGAGACAACTATCCACAAAAGACAAAAAAAATGACACAGAAATTAACAACTATAGGTCACTGTACTGCCCTCAACAATGAACAAAGCCCATACGGCATAGTCAGCTATAAAAGGCCCAAAAATGACAAATGTAAAACAATTCAAACGAGAAAACTAACGGCGTAATTTATGTACAAAATAATGATTTTGTTAATAGTTTACAGTGTAATGTCTATTTCCATTTTATTTATATTTCAGCTTATTTTTTTTTTGCAACATGATTTTGAGTCGTGCTGTTCGTCTTGCTGTGGTCCAAGTTTGCCCATATTCTAAATGATTGTATTATTTCCCTTGGTTATTGGTTGGGGGAAAATGGCGGCAAAATGTTTGTTTCATCACACAAGTCGCGATTTTCCATAAAACAGCTGTCATATTCACTATTGTGACCATTTAGATGTATCAGGCAATTGATTTATTTTATTGGCAACTCTGAACTTCGCTTTTGACATGAGTTTAGTTAATTTTTCACTTTACAACAGAAATAAAATGACATGGGGTCGGTCGTGTAACCGTAAACAGATATATATATATATTTTTGGCTTAGAGGTAAAATCCCATTGATTGCTTATTGTGTAATTTATAGAGTAAGATCCCATTGATATCTTGTAGTGTAATGTAAAGAGGTTAAATTCTGTTGATTGCTTGCAGTGTAACTAGAGGTTAAAATCTCTTTGATTACCTTGTAGTGTAACTAGAGATTTAAATCTCATTAATTGCTTGTAGTATATTGTTTAGAGGTTAACATCTCATTGATTGCTTGCAGTATAATGTTTAGAGGTTAAAATCTTATTGATTGCTTGTAGTGAATTGTTTAGAGGTTAAAATCTCATTTATTGCTTGTAGTGTAATGTCTAGAGGTTAAAATCTCGATTGCTTGCAGTGTAATGTCTAGAGATTGAAACTCTTCGACAGTTTGTTGTTGACATCTTCATTGAGTGTTTGTGATAACAATATTGTTATGTTTAGTGGTTAAACTCTTTTTACGACCCTGCGGCAGCAGAGGGGCTTAGTGTTAACGGTGTCCGTCTGTATGTACCTACGTCCCAAAATTATTTTCCATTCTCTAACTTTAGTTTGCCTCAACCAAATGTTGTGAAACTTATACACAATGCTTTTTATACGCCCGTTTATGGGACGTATTATGGAATACTGTTGTCCTTCGTCAACATGTCGCACATTAACTCAAAAATGCTTTAACCAATTTGCATGAAACTTTGGTGAATTGTTTAGATCTATTGACGTGAGCTCCCTTTCGTTTTTAAAGCAATTGCTTTTATGCCATCGCGTATGGCCATCTTTGTGACGCAAATCAGAGACTCCGCCCAGATCAAGCCATAATATTTTGTTAAACAGGCTCCTGGTCTGTCATTCTTAAACACCTATGTATGTTTTCTAATGCAATACATAGCTTGAAACTTTTGAAAAACGTTAGTAGATTTAAGAGGTTTCAGCATATGTTCTTGTATATATCAAAAATTACTTTCTGCTAAAGTCTTTTATTGATATAAAGTTAAAACCTTCTTACTTCTCACTAGACAACACTCCTGTCAGGTTTAATTCTTATATATAATACCTTTACAGTGCTTTGAGCAGTTTTCATTTAACTTTGATGCCTGGTTTATATCTATTAAGGTAACCTCCCTTTAATTATTCATAAATTTCTGATATGACATTGAGAAGTTATTGAACTTTATTCTTAGAAAATGTGACGGGCGTATCATGCACTCATGGCGCAGCTGTTTATTAGTCTCCTACCCACGAAGTCGAAGGGGACTTTAGGTTTGCACTCCGTCTGTCTGTCTGTCAGTCCGACATATCAGTTTTCCAGACTTTTTTTCTTCGTGCTTGAAGATATTGATTTGATATTTGGTTTATTGTTTTATCATGACAAGTTACAGGTCAAGTTCAATTTTCACGATTTTAGCTTTTCTCTTTGCACAGTTAAAGCCCTTTGCCTAGAATTAAATTTTTGATGAAATACTTATTAATTAGTAGATTTCTGTTCAAAGGGAAATAACTCATTTTAAAAAAAAAATTCAAGACAAAATGACATTTTGGATTTTTTTCCTTGTCTTTGGTAAATTGTTTGAAGAATTTAGTGGAAGTTTGTTTGTCATCCTTGAAGATATTGATTTGATAATTAGTATATAGTTTTACATGACAAGTAACAGATCAAGTTGGAATTTTGTTCCGGTTTGATGATTTTGTGCAGAGTTGTGGTTTTTGGACAACAGTTTTTTTCGTCATGCTTGAAGTTTTTGACTTGATATTTTTATGTAGTTTACACCATGACAAGTTATAGATCAAGTTAGAATTTCGTTCCATTACAATGAATTTTTAACTGGTAGGGGACTATGTATTACCATGCAATACTCACAGAATGCTTGTTGCCATTAAACTCGAGTTCAAATTTGGGTGGCATCACTTTTACAGTTCTTAGTTATGTCCCTTTATAAGGTTATATGGAAGCAGGGGCATCATCTGTGTCCTGTCGCAAGGACACATTCTCCATTCATTTAATAAATGATTGCAATGAACTGTTTTGAGGTTTAAATTTCATTGATTGGTGCCTAATGTCTGTTCTGAGTTATGATTCCTATGAATGCTTATAGTGTTGTGCCTAGAGGTTTTGATTGTATGCAATTTAATGTCTACAAGTTTTAAATCTTGAGCACTTTTAACAACTCTTGTCCTGTCTTCTGATGTGACTTGGTGTGTGTTTGAACGACTCTGGAATTGACATTAATAATTGAAATAAATTCTGATAGTCCTGAAAGAATTTTTAAAAAAACGTTAGCCAATCCTGTAGCTGCAGTTGAAATTTCGTGAACTATAATGACGCTTGCAGTCAAATAGTTTCCAGGGCAAATGGTTAGAAAGTATTGACCGTTCAAATAGTTCAACACTTGCAATTTAACAAATAGTGAAAACATTGTGTACTTATTTTATTACAGAAAATGATAACTGAGGTGTAATAATTATAAATGATGTGTTGTCTACTTGAAAGTTCATTTGGTTTTTTTTTCAATTTTTAGGAGGATGACCACAAGTCGAAGAGTCAAGTTCCAATTAGGATTACTTTCAATGATTCTCCCAGAAGAGGAGGAAGAGGTGGTAGGAGGCCACGTGGAGGAAGAGGTCCTAGGGGTTCTCTTGGTCGTGGTGACAGAAGAGGAAATTCTCGGGATACTGCTCCAAGATTTGACGATGAAGCTGACTTTCCAAGTCTGGTCAAATCTGCTGCATAGTGCATCCTAATAGGAGAATACTTCCCCATTTGGACACTTCAAGTGCAAAATGATTTCATTAAATTCTCATAAACAACCTGCATTTCTGAGGATTATAAATAGTGCACCAAAAACTTTAAAAGTGCATTATTTTCTTTTATACTTACATTGTTTTTGAGATATCTATTGCTTGATTGACAAATATGTTTAAAGTATGTTGGTTAGTACTTATTAGTTTAACCATGTACTTTGTTAATAGTGCTGCTAATTTTAATGGCTGTAGCAAAAGTGAATTTGACTGAAAGATGGTAGCATGGTAGTTTGTATGTTTTTACTGAAATTTTCATGTTCTATATATGAAAAAAAAAATATGTAAATTTATAAAATAATATTTAAATTGGATTCTACATCATATTGGTTTTGTAGACATTGACTGTTCAATGGGTACTACATGATATGTAGCCCTGTGTATAGTTGGTAATGAAATCATGGTTGTCATTATAAAGCATCATGTTACATTGATTAGTTAACCGTCTTTCAAGTTGGATCACATTGAACATGTTTATCTCCCTTTACCTAATGTTATCATTCCTTTCAGCTGTTAAATGTTTGATCTCTTCAGTAATTTATTGATCATTTGTGTTTCTTGCTATTGACAGTATAGTGTTTGAAAGCCTTTCTTATCAAAAGTTGATCAGGAAATTTAGAAATGATTTGACACCTGTTATATAAACACCTTTCGACATTAGAACTCAATGGTCTATGATAGAACCTGTTCAGATAGATGAAGAATTGATTATGACTATTTGAAATCAAACAGATGAGCAAGTATAAGTATTTTTGAGAAATAAAAAACTATGATTACATCTCAAAAATTATGCAGCAGATTATTATACAGACAGTTTGCTGAATCCTGTCTTGTGTTTTTTTCTAAGTCTTAAAATTCATACTTCATAAGTATAAAAAAGACGTTTTCTGTGAAGATGTTACTTATACATGTGTTTAAAAGGTTAAGTGCTAAATGTGTCAAAGGTTATAAGTTTAAATATTGAACAGACTATAAAATTTTTAGTAAGGAAGCTTTGGACATTGTAATTTTTAATCTGCCAATAGTTACCTCTCCATATCACCTATTTATAAGATCCTGCTGTGTAATATATTATCACTTGTATTTAAAAGGGGAATAAACCTCTTATTGACAAGACTTGTTATTTAACTGCCTTAGTCATTGTTGTCCCCATCTGCATAATGGTGCTGATAACATTGAAACACCAGGTTTTTGTCAATCCAAAAATTGGAAGTTGTTGCCCTTAAATGAAATGTTCTTGATAAATAGACACATCTTTTGTACGCCCATATACGGGATGTAGTATGGTATACCTCTGTCTATCCCTCCGTCATCAACACGTCCGACAATAACTCAGAAAAAAACACACCAATTATCATGAAACTTTGGTGAATTATTCATATCTATTGACGTAAACTCCCTTTCGTTTTTTATATTACTTTTCTGAGTTATGGGGTTTTATTCATTAAAAAAAAAAGGGATTTTCCAGTTTTCGGACAATAACTCGAAAATGCTTTTACCAATTTGCACGAAACTCTGGTGAATTGTTTATATCTATTGACATGAGCTCCCTTTCGATTTTAATACATTTTACATTTTACGTTTCCGAGTTACAGGGTTTTATTCATTAAAAAAAGTGGGATTTTCATATTTTCGGACAATAACTCAAAAATGCTATCAGCAGTTCTCATGAAACTTTGGTGAATTGTTTATATCTATTGACGTAAGCTCCCTTTTGATTTTTATAAATTATAGATTTTATGTTGTTTCCAAAATGCTTTGAACAATTCTCATGAAATTTTGCTGAGTTGTTTATGTATATGAACACAAGTTCTCTTTCTATTAAAAATAACTTCTGATTTTACGTTTTGGAGTATTGGGACTTTATCCGTTAAATAGGGGAGATTTTCCAGTTTTCAGACAATAACTCTAAATTGCTTTGAGCAGCTTTCATGAAACTTGGGTGTCTTGTTTTATGTCCAACGAAATAAGCTCCCTTTTGTTTTTATGCCCCCGCTGAAGTGGAGGGGGCATTAAGTTTTACTCTTGTCCGTCTGTCCCAAAATTGGTTTCCGTTCTCTAACGAGTTTGCCTCAACCAACAGTTATGAAACTTTTACACAATGCTAATTACCACAAAACACAGATCAAGTTTGAATTTTGGTGGCGTCACTTTGACTGTTCTAGAGTTATGCCCCTTTATAAATGAAAAAAATGCAACATTTTTAGTTTCCGTTTTCTAACTTAAATTTGCCCCAACCAAACATCATGAAACCTATACACAATACTTGTTACCTTAAAACTCGGATCAAGTACAAATTTGGGTAGCGTCACTTTTATCGTTCTTGGGTTATGTCCCTTTATAATGTTGTATGCAAGCGGGGGCATCATCTGTGTCCATGGGGACACATTCTCCATTTATTGTTTTTGCTTTGTACCGATCTGCTAATTCAAGTTATTTCCAACTGTTGTCTACAGTTTGTTCCTCTGTTGTGGTGTTGTTACACCACTACAAGAGGTAAGTTAGAAGATTGGGCGTTCACAAACATATATAAACCAAGAAATTCTGTTTGTGCCTGTCTCTAGAAGCCTGTAATCTAGTAGTTGTTGGCTGTGGTCTGCTATAATTGATTTCCGTAAATTGTTGTATAAACCAACCATTTTGTTTGCTCATTTTAATTGTTTCATATTTTGTCATTCGCCGTCAACAACTCGCAAAACTAATGCTGTTTTGTAGTAAGATGTAATAGGCACCCTGTATAAGGCGACTTGTAATTTTTCACACCTTTGTGCGTTGGTTTTAAAATGTAAATATAAACAAGAAGATGTGGTACGAGTGCCAATGAGACAACTTTCCATCCAAGTCATAATGTGTAAAAAGTAAACAATTATAGGTCAAAGTACGGCCTTCAACACGGAGCCTTGGCTCACACCGAACAGCAAGCTATAAAGGGCCCCAAAAAACTAGTGTTAAACAATTCAAACAGGAAAACCAACGGTCTAATCTATATCAAAAACGAGAAACGCTTATGAACCACACCAACAAACGACAACCACTAAACAACAGGCTCCTGACTTGGGACAAGTGCATAAAAATGCAGCGGATTTTAACGTTTGAACAGGCGCCAACCTTCACCCTAACCTGAAAAAGTGGTATAACGTTGCAACATAAAAAGACACAATAAAATATCAATTGAAATGGCTAAACTCGATCAAAAAGACAAGACACAATAACAAGTAAATATACACTGAACGAATAAGTTTGATCTATGACACAATATAAATAAAAAAGATGTTTCAATATCAAAAAGACAACTTTTACCTAGGACAAAATGGCTTTAAATAAAGTAACGTACACAGGTAAATTTAAATATAATAATTTTGTTGTTCGTACAGTAACATTTTTTACAAAATAAATTTGTTATTCATAGTTCGAGTACAGAAGTGACATTTTTTCGTCATACTAAATACTTATAAAAGGTGGTACATATTAAAAAAAAGTAAGACGAGATATAACACAAAATAAGTAAACATTGAATAACAAATGCATTACGAGTTGTGTCAACAGGTCAAATTAACACGAAAGTACGATTTTATAGTACTCGCAGTTACTGAAAGCTAGTTAAAAGCAAAACACGATTAAATAATAAAAAGTCATGCATCAGAGACTAAAATCAATTAAAACACATCCCAGGCAGGGATTTAGTGTATTAACGCCATGGACAGTCAAAAGAACACGCGACTTGTGCAATGCCAAAATAAAAGTAACGACAGGCAGTAGGATAGTTGGGATTTAACCTTAAAATAATATGTATGATGTTAGTATAGATAAAACAATTTCTAAATCGAAAATAAACCTGGAGGTGTATATATACATCCCAAAAAACATTCGAAAAGAATGAACCTTTAGTTATGTTTTAATTTGTTGATGACAAAATCGATGTTAGTGCCAATGAAAATAATATTCAAAGTTCTTATTACAACATTAATAAGATAACCTTTACTAATAAGTTTGTTGAAAGGTTCGATAAGTTTACACGGATCACATAGTGATTTCTGCGCTTTTAGTACAATATTACCGTAAAATTTAGGATGTGAAATACCATTTTTAATAAGGTTTATACAGGTACAGCCAAATTTACTAATCAAATCTTTGTATCTATGAAAACATTTAGTAAATGTTTTAAGTAATTTATGGTAACGAAATCCCTGATATAATAATTTACCAGTGATACATTGATTATGTTCGTTAAAATCTATGATATCACTGCACACACGGGCATAACGAACGAGTTGGGATATATAAACACCGTATGATGGAGCCATAGGAACATCGCCGTCTAAAAAAGGAAAATTAACAATAGGGAATGAAAAATCGTCTCTTTTGTCGTAAATTTATGTATGGAATTTCCCTTTAGAAATTGAAATGTCTAAATCTAGAAAAGGACAACTACTGCTGTTTATGTTAGATTTATTTAAAGTAAGTTCCTTTGGATAAATTTCGGTAGTATATTTAGAGAATTCTGGATTATTTAATGAAAAAATATCACCAAGATAACGGTAGGTATTGTTGAATGTGTCAACTAAATGTAACAATTACGTGTCTTTACTGATTTGGCCATTAACTGTGATTCATAGCAATATAGGAATAAATCTGCTATTAAAGGGGGCGCAATTAGTGCCCATAGGAATACCTACTACATGTCGATACACTTTATCGCCAAAACGTACATATATGTTGTCCAGGAGAAAATTTAAAGCTTCAATCATATCTTCACATTTCCAGTAAGTGTATCTAGCATACTTTCCTTTTTCGATACAGATAAAGGCTTTAAACGAATTACAGCAAATCAATTTGCAATGAGATTTTTCAAAAGACCATTTAGTAATATGAAAACTTTTTCTTGATAAGATTGTGGAAGTGTAGTGTAGAGAGAAGAAAAATCATAACTTTCAACAGAATTAAAAAGACCATCAAAAGCACGTATTTTATCTAAAACCTCTAAAGAATTTTTAACACTCCAAAAATAATTAATACCATTATTTTCATAAACTTTATTACACAAGTTAATAAGTTCTTTGATAGTAGTAAGGGAGGTAGTTAGAAACACTGACAGATTAGTAGTAGAACACTTACTAGATGCGGAGATGAAACGAAATTTAAATTGTTGTTCGTGTAATTTAGGTAACCAGTACATAATCGGGACTTCCAAATGTTCGGAAGAGGCTTTAAGCTGGGTAGTGGCAGTGATATGCTTGTTTACAATCTGACTCTCTGTGGAGCGTACGGACCTGAATGTAGAAGAATTGATAATTTCGTTTTGGAGAACTTCCGTGTAGTATATGCGTCACACCACACTACATTATTGGCTGCTTTGTCTGCCGGTACGAACACAGACCGCTTTGCTAGTACTTGGAGCTTTATTTTTTATTCTAGAAATGGGTATATCATGAACCCTATTATTAATTTCAGAATTGTTTTGAAAATGAGATATACGAATCTCAACAGTATTCATAATTTTATTCAAATTACTGTCTAGAGATTTTTTATCAGGTTTTTCTCGTTTACACCAGACAGAGCGTCATTAATGACCTGACGACATTGTTTCCTATCTTTAAGAGATGGAGGACTATCTTGAGAAAAGTTTTGACCTCACGGTCTTCAACGATGTTGAGATCTCCTGTAATGACATGACCATAGGGAACATATTTAAAACTAGATGTTTCACAGTCTTAAATTGAATTTAGATAAAAAATATTACAAAAAATTATGCCAAAATAAGAATAAGTAATAGTATGCTGGCTGTTGAACGCGGTAGATACAACAAAACAGCCTTGGAAAATAGAATATGTCCTTTATGCCATAAAGATGTGGAAGATGAATACCATTTTATCATAACATGTACAGAAATTATTAATACTAGGATCGAAATGTTTAATGAAATTTCTAGTATTGTCCCCAGTTTTAATTCAATGAGTAAAGAAAACAAATTTGATTTTATATTTTCTTGTGAAGAATGTTATATTTTACTTATCATTGTTAACAATATAAGTAAAATGTATAATGAGAGAAACAATTATAATGTCAATATATGAACTGTGTGTAATTGGTGGCTTAACTTATAATGTTATATATAATCATAATATTTGAATTGATAATTTTATAGAGGAGGCATGCTGTCAAAAATAGTATTATACTTAATATTAATAATCTTTATTTATTTAATTTTTTTCAATGCTACATGTTTGTATTGTTTAATGTCTATCGTTTTGTCATTAATATGCCTGTCTGTCTGTTTGTTTGTTTTGTTTTGGTTTTGTATTGGTTTGTTTATTTAGTAACAATCCTATTGTTTGGATTTTAAACTAATAAAATTCTTATTCTCTTAAGTGGAAGGAGCATTATTTTCTATATTGAAGTTTGATGTTACTGACGTATAATTAAAAATAAAACTTCTGCTGTTTTTTTTTTGTACGAATACGAAATAATAGGTTGTTCTGTATTATCAAAATATGGAGGTATTTGGCTATGGAGAATATACTAGATAAGTTAATAAAATCTATACCTCTATTTATATATTTTAATTTTGAAAAAAAGCCGTTTATGATTTTCAGGTTTATCGATACTAGGAAACAGCCTGTGATGACAAAAGGCTGTAATAAGCATTCATACAACGGTCTGAAAAATGAAATTTTATCACACACTAGAAAAATATCATATACTAGTAGTTCACTTATTGGTATATGACCAAGTTTGCATAGTAATTGATGTCTACCATTATTTTTTTTATTATAGAAAACAGATCAGCAAGTGTATAATTTATACGTAGATTACGGTTTTTTACGTTTACCATGAGACCTATTATTTCTTAGCCGTTTATCGACAATATTCATGACATCGATAGAAGTTTTAGATATGCTCCCCTGTCACAATATTTTGTCATTGAGATCGAGAGGATAAGCTGTTTGAAGTCTTTTCATCCAAAATAGTTCGCGAACTTTACGGGATTTTTCAAATTGTTTGTGTGATTTTCCTGGTTGTTTCTGAACGGTTTCAAGTGGTTGGAAATTTATAAATTTAAGATTGTGATTATGCTTATCCAAATGTTGGTATATCAAACTTTTGAATTTTTTATGTCTTCGAAAGCGGTAAAGGTGCTCTTGATTTCTTTTGTAATAAGCTCGTCCCGTCTGTCCCACATATTGAATAACACACTCAGGCTGGGTTCAAGTTACCAGATAAATAAGGTTTTGCGTTTTTCAGGTAATGTCACAGGAAAAGGAGAGCGAAAAAGCTCTCCCGTTCACTGTTGACCTAACAGTATTGTGTGAAGTTAATCTGAAACAGGTCAGTCATTTTCTGACATTGCACGTGCATTTTTGTTTAACAATCTGACTGCAGAGGCATTGCCTCCTTTGACACAATTGTACACAGTGCTAAATGTAGTAGGGTAATTTTGATAGGCTGCTGTTAAATTTATATTAGAAATACGGTTATTTAAGCACGTGAATATCCTAGAAGTAGGATTGTTTTTCAATTTCTTTCCATTTCGTAATATCATGATTATTTAAGTAGGGGTATAGGAAAAATAAAAAAGACCGGAGGTTGTAACATTGAATTGGGATCACAATTACGGAATAAGAAATAATAGGCAAAGCAGTAAAAGAACTCTTACAAAAACTGTTATAAAATATTTTTACTTCATGACCACAAACTGAAAAAAAAAACGCGTTTAAACGAGGTGAAATGTTTTCAAAGCACTCGATCATGGCTTACAGGATGCATAAAACTTTTAAAATCTCATCATTCCGAAAACTCGACATTAGGTTTAAACAACGATGCCGTAAAATTTCCACCCATGTTCTCTATTCGCATCAACCATTGCAGCCGACACGAAAAGATAAAACCGATACAAAATTCTAGTTTGTTGCTCAGTCTTTAGTTGTGTTTTGTAGACTGTTACGTGTCTTTTGGTCATTTTTCGGGTTCTTTTTTTTGCCATGACATTGTCAGTTTGTTTTCGTATTATGAGTTTGAATATTCTTTTGGTATCTTCCACTTCTTTTTTTTACATGTTAAATTCCAAAACTGCTTTTTCGTTCAGATTTGATATATCTTTTACTGTTCGAGTTTAATGGATTCCACAAGAAACGGTAGGAGCAGACATGACAAAATATTTCTTTCTTATCATAAATCCGATTTTGCGGGGTCTATTTTCTTCTTTTTGACTTTTGATGATACCAATTGAATATTTTAGTTCGGGAATAGATAAATAAAATTGTTTTTAAAGTTTTCAAACATTCATCTCGGAGCAAATATGCCCAGAAAAAAAGGAAAATAAAAACAATAAAAAACTGTACCACTGAGTGGACAAAATCATACATCAGAAACAAAGTTAAAAGAACGGAACAATTCGTTATGCGTTAGTGACAACATCCGAGCCGAGGAATACAATGGACGATTCACTTCTTAAGCCCTTATTTATAAGTAAAATAACAATTTAAAATCATTTATTAGTTTCATTAATAAAAAGACGTGAATGTAACAAAAATAAAACGACACATGCTGAAATTTGCTGACTCCACTAATGCCTATTCGTAATACAGAGCATAAACAGTGCCTACAGCGAACACATATTTGTTGTGGAAGGAAGAGCATGCAAAACTATCTCTCTCATGATCCCAGAGATATCTACTTCCAATCCTTACTCCTTGGTCATTTTTTTGTCCAATGGTCACCAAACTTATTATCTTGTACCTGTAAAATAAAGGACTTCGTCAATGAACACGGAAATATAAAATATTAAAATACCATGAACAAATCAGATGAATAAAATCGGTACTTAATGATTTTATTTTGCACTTTTCAGTGTTTTCAGTTGTGAAGTTCTCGATTACAGAACAACGTTGTACATGTTATTGTTTTCGTCTCTTTCTATATTGCCATACAAATATCGAAGGCAGTTAAGATGAATATATATATAAACCTGAAATGTTTTGATTGAACATGATTTGATATCCCCTAATATTTTAATGTAGTGCACTTGAGACAGTGTGATATGGTCGTTATTAGAGATGGGCCTTATGGTCTTTTTGATTGAACGTAACAACATACAAACATACTTCACTACGATAACTGTTTTACTTAGAAACTGATTTTTTCCAGAAAAAAAGGTATTAAACAAGTTTCAAATATATTCAATGTGCATTTCTGAAAATTCTTATTTACCCCTTTTCCGAGTAAAAAAATGTTTTGAGTGTCAATTGAACATCATTTCCTTCACGTAATATTACTAGATTTTGTAGCGACAATGTCTCGTTGTTTGCAACATAGTTTCCACAGATAAGACTTTCCCGTTCCACAGAGTAATCAAGATAATGCAATCGGCTTAAAATATTAATTCATAATTAAATTAATTTTTATTTTGCTAATGTTTGATCGATATTGATGTTATTTAGAAATGCTGGTATTTATACACGCATATCATTTCTATGAAATTGAAACAATCTAAACAACTGGCAATTCAAAATGAAATTAAAGCAAACACTTTGTCACAATATTAGGATGATCAAAATGATGAATGATGTTTATTTTAGCTGCTATTACCACAGTATGTACGGAGATAGGATCCAGAAAATGTATTGTAAAATAAAATACATATAATAACGCTCGAAAGAACTATGCAAAAAAAACTAAAACAAAGACGGTGTTGCGACAATATTGGATGATAAAATTTGATATTTGATTTGTGTATCCTTTTCTATACGTATATACCAAATGATTGTAAATTCAACCATTTAAGTAATGGTTAAGATCTGATAATAGATCATTTATTGTACATACGGCCTTATTTCTCTGACTTAAATGGGTATCAACATGCAGAGACCAAAGAATGCGACAAAGAACGTCGATACCATAAATGGTCCAGATATATCTGACTTCGGACACTGACACCTGGGGTCCTGAGTACTTAACCCTTCCCCTGTTTTCAAACAGAAGAGAACAACAATTACAGATTCCGTTGAAGCTATCAGTAGACTGTTCATTACTTCAACAATCTGCCGATGACAACAATGTTCGATGTACGGCACTATTTACAATTCTAATTTTTATTCATGTTGGCATGGTAAATTAATTTCTCATTTTTCATGAAAAGAAATATATCAAGAGTGCACACACTGAAATGTCTCGCCTACTCTACTACCATTGATTTCATGTTGATAGCCCTAAATATAAAGTTTTACTACAAGTATTACATAAACTTATCATGATCCAAGAAAATGAGGTCAAGGTCAGATAAACCAAGCCAGAAATACATGTGCACCATACATTGATTATAGTTGACCTATTTCTTATAAGAAACAGATCAAACCATGAAAACTTTATATTGACCAATGAACCATGAATATGTGGTCAAGGTCAGATGAACCCTGCCAGACAGACATGTACACTTTACAATCATTCCATGGATCAAATATAGTTGATGTATCAAATATAGTATCTAAGAAACAAACTTGACCACGAAAAATTATTGACCAATGAACCATGCAAATGAGGTCAAGGTCAGATGATACCTGCCAGACAGACATATAAACATTACGATCATTCCATACAACAAACATAGTTGACCTATTGCTTATAGTTAAAGAAATACAGACCAAAACACAAAAACTTAATATTGAGCAATGAACCGTGAAAATGAGGTCAAGGTCAAATAAATTCTGCCAGACTGACATGAACATCATAAAATATTTCCATACACCAAATATATGCATACAGTATTAGAAAAATAGACCAAAAAACAAAAACTTAACTTTAACCACTGAACCACGAAAATGAGGTCAAGGTGAGATGACAACTGCCAGTTGGACATGTACACCTTACAATCATTCCATACACCAAATATAGTAGACCTATTGCCTATAGTATCTGAGATATGGACTTGACCACGAAAACTTAACCTTGTTCACTGATCCATGAAATGAGGTCCAGGTTAAGTGAAAACTGTCTGACAGGCATGAGGACTGTGTATGGTATGCACATATCAAATATAGTTATCATATTACTCATAATAAGAGAGAAATTAACTTTATAAAAAATCTTAACTTTTTTTTCAAGTAGTCACTGAACCATGAAAATGAGGTCAAGGACAAAGGACAAATGACAGACGGAAACTTCACAACATAAGGCATCTACATACAAAGTATGAAGCATCCAGGTCTTCTACCTTCTGAAATATTAAGCTTTTAAGTAGTTAGTTAACGCCGCCGCCGCCGGATCACTTTTCCTATGTCGATCTTTCTGCGACAAAAGTTGCAGGCTCAACAAAAATATTACGTGAGCTATTTCCTGTTTTTAATGGTTTATATGGTATTCTAAGCACTTTGTAAATATCTGTAGTTGTTTGAATGAGAAACAAACACAAACAGAAAACAAGTTAAGTGGTTTTTTTTGTGGATAATACTACTTATTCAGGGGGGTGACAAGGGGGTGCTTATCCCAAATCTCAAGTTTTTGTAATTTTTCCCCACTTCCTTTTTTTCCTTTTCCCTCAGATCCCATTTTTTACCCCCTGTATCACTCATCACAATCATTATTTACTCCCTATATCCCACATTTCCACTTTTTTTACCTCCTATATCCCAAAAGGGTGTCACTCTAAGCATCTATTTAATACTTAAAATTAGAGGGAAAACTCAGCAGACTTGTCCACAACCTGAATAAGGACTTGATTACATGTAATTACCATTTAATGGCCAACACTTATGTCCAGATAAAAAAAAAATATTGATCACTTATACAGAACTATTTTTCCCGTGTACGAATTTTACTCGTGTGGCGTCATAAAACGTCTATTAACTTTTGGGTTGCCATGACACTTACCAATGAAATAAGACGTAACAAACAACATTAGAATTATTCATAATCCACAGCATTTACTGCTGTATCTTGATATCTATTTGCTTTATGGCCATCCTCTTTAATTGTTGATCCAAAATTTCAATGTGAGTATTCGATAAGATTCACTAACCTCTTAAAATTTAGTTCCTTTACTTTCATCTTTAATTCTTCTGCTAGTGACTTGGACAATATAGAACATTCGATTGGATCATACTTTCTTCCTGAAAAATTACACAAAACTAATAGATTTAGACCATTCATGACAAGGCTAAATATGAATAAGAAGATACATTCCTATTGTTTATTATATATCCTCTTGTTGTAATAACTGTAAAGCATACAAAGTGTGTCTAACCACCCCTTTATTGTCAATATATTTAAAAAAAATCATACATCATGATTAAATTTCTGTTGTGAATTTTTTTTAAATAATTATTCTCATTTTTCATAGTGAAACATTTGTTTCAAATGAAAAATCAGTGGCAACAATTTCCACCCAAAATATTCTATTTTTTTTTTAAATTCCATTTGCCTCAGAAGCAAACTGCTAAGCATAAAGACAAAACCATATTTTTCAATCCGGAAGGTTTGCAGTTTGTTGTATTGTCTAATATTTTATGTATTATTCATCTTCAACTATTATTTTTAAGCACAGTGTGATTATTGGCTCATAAATTGTGTCTTGTGTTTATGTGTAATCATTGACCATTATTTATTTGGTTTTGTGTTTATGTGTACTCATTGACCCATTACTTGTGTCTTGTGTTCACTTGTGTTTATGTGTACTCATTGGCCCATTACTCATTTGGTCTTGTGTTTATGTGTACTCATTGGCTCATTACTTATTTGGTCTTTTGTTTATGTGTACTCATTGACCCATTACTTGTGTCTTGTGTTCACTTGTGTTTATGTGTACTCATTGGCCCATTTCTTATTTGGTCTTGTGTTTATGTGTACTCATTGGCTCCTTACTTATTTGGTCTTGTGCTTATGTGTACTCATTGGCTCATTACTTATTTGGTCTTGTGTTTATGTGTACTCATTGGCCCATTTCTTATTTGGTCATGTGTTTACGTGTAATAATCGGTCCATTACTTATTTGGTCTTGTGTTTATGTGTACTCATTGTCCCATTACTTATTTGGTCATGTGTTTACGTGTAATAATCGGTCCATTACTTATTTGGTCTTGTGTTTATGTGTACTCATTGGCCCATTACTTATTTGGTCATGTGTTTACGTGTAATAATCGGTCCATTACTTATTTGGTTTTGTTTTTAAGTGTGATTATTTATCCATTACTTATTTGGTCTTGTGTTTATGTGTAATCATTGGTCCATTTATTTAGTCTAATAATCGGCCCAGTTATTTAGTCTTGTGTTTATGTGTATTAATTGACCCAGCTATATAATCCTGTATTCATGTGCTATAATTGACCTACTTCCAGTACTTACCTTGTAAATGTTTAGCAAAAATGTCGTCTATTATAGGTTTAACCTTGTCCGCTCTAAATTTTGTGTCTGGTTCTAATTTAAAGGTATTTTCATAATATACCTGAAACAAGAAGTTTTAGGTTCATTCCAATGACAAATAATGCTAAATATCTAAATAGTAATCGGTATGAACTGTTTCTCGGCTTAGGGAACTACCATTTGATTTTTATGGGGGGGGGGGGGTTAGGATGAAATTTGAAAAAAATAGGCAGGACAGGAGTTTTGAGTAAAAAAAAGGCAGGATGAGACACCGCATAAAAAAAGGCAGGATGACAATTTAAGTAAAAAAAAAACGGCAGGACCGAATAGAGTGGAAAATAAAAAGGCAGGACAGAGATTACATCTAAAAAAAAAAGGCAGGACAACATTTTTCATCCTAGCCCCCCCCCCCCCCCCCCCCCATAAAAATCAAATGGTAGCTCCCTTACCATCAGACTGTCGCTTTGGACTTTTGCAGGAAAATGTATGGGATGGATGGACGATGATTATTTTATACCAAGCTTTTTAAGGTAATTTTATTTATAAGCAAAACATTAAGGCAGTGTCCTTCAAATATTTGCTTTCGGATTAACAGACTTAATCAATGTTTATATTGCTGTTGTTCAATAATTTCATCATTGCATTAATATCAATTAGTTTATTTACTAAACTAATTCCTTTCTTTTTCCTGCATTATAATTCTATACGGGTTTACATTTTACCAGTAGTAACAAGTACTTTTCTGTACTGATTTTACTGCACGTTCATATTATTCCACTGATAGAGGTTCAGCTTTTTTTAAATATAAAACTGATCGAATCCTAACAAAATATGTTCACCTTTTGTTATTCTACTGATCGAGAGCTCACAGGACTAAATCGCCTTTTGTTATTCTACTTATCGAGTTCTCACAAAACTAGTTCGCCTTTTGTTATTCTACTTATCGAGTTCTCACAAAACTAGTTCGCCTTTTGTTACTCTACTTATCGAGTTCTCACAAAAGTAGTTCGCCTTTTGTTATTCTACTTATCGAGTGCTCAAGAAACTAGTTTCCCTTTTGTTATTCTACTGATCGAGCGCTCACAAAACTAATTCACCTTTTGTTCTTCTACTGATCAAGTGCCCACAAAACGTGTTCACCTTTTCTTAGTCTACTGATCGAGTAATCAAAAAACCAGTTCGCCTTTTGTTATTCTTTTGGTCGAATAGTCACTAGACTAGTTCACCTTTTGTTATTCAACTGGTCGAATGCCCACAAGACTAGTTCACATTTTGTTATTCCACTGATCCAGGGCTCACACAACAAGTTCATCTTTTGTTATTCTACTGATCGAATGCTCACAAAACTAGTTCACATTTTGTTCTTCTACTGATCGAGTGCTCACAAAACAAGTTAACGTTTTGCTATTGTACTGATCAAGTGCTAACAAAACTAGTTCACCTTTTGTTATTCTACAGATTGAGTGCTCACAAAACTAGTTCTTATTTTGTTATTCCACTGATCCAGGGCTCACAAAACAAATTCACCTTTTGTTATTCTACTGATCGAATGCTCTCAAAACTAGTTCACATTTTGTTATTCTACCGATCGAGTGCTCACAAAACAAGTTAACCTTTTGCTATTCTACTGATCGAGTGCTCACAAAACCAGTTCGCCTTTTGTTATTCTACTGATTGAGTGCTCTCAAAACTAGTACACCTTTTGTTATTCTGCTGATCGAGTGCTCATAAAATAAGTTAACCTTTTGTTATTCTACTGATCGAGTACGCACAAAACAAGTTAACCATTTGCCATTCAACTGATCGAGTGCTCAAAAAACTAGTTCACCTTTTGTTATTCTACTGATTGAATGCTCACAAAACTAGTTCGCAATATGTTATTCTACTGATCGGGTACTTACAAACCAAGTTAACCTTTTGCTATTCTACTGATCGAGTGCTCACAAAACAAGTTAACATTTTGCCATTCTACTGATCGAGTGCTAACTACACTAGTTCGCCTTTTATTATTCTACTAATCAAGTGCTCACAACACTAGTTCGCATTTTGTTATTCTACTGATCGAATGCTCATGAAACTAGTTCACATGTTGTTATTCTACTTATCATGTGCTCACGAAACTAGTTCCCCTTTTGTTATAAAACTGATCGAGGGCTCACAAAACAAATTCATTTTTTGTTATATTTCTGATCCAGAGATCACAAAACTATATCACGTTTTGTTATTATACTGATCGAATGCTCAATAGACTAGATTACCCTTTGTTATTCTACTGATCGAGGGCTCACAAAACAAATTCGTGTTTTGTAATTCTACTGATCGAGAGCTCACAAAACTAGTTCGCCTTTGGTTATTCAACAGATCGAGTGCTCACAACACTAGTTCACCTTTTGTTATTCTACTGACCGAGGGCTGAGAAAACAATTTCCTCTTTTGTTATTCTACTGGTCGAGTGCTAAAAAAACCTAGTTTCCATTTTGTTATTCTACTGATCGAGTGCTTACAAAGCTAGTTCATCTTTTGTTGTTCTACTGATCGAGTACTCACATAACTAGTTCACCTTTTGTTAATCTGCGGATCGAGTGCTCACGAATCCAGTTCGCCTTTTGTTATTCTACTGATCGAATTCTCACTAGACTAGGTCACTTTTTGTTCTTCTTCTGATCGAATGCTCACAAACTAGTTCACCTTTTGTTATTCTACTGATCGAGTGCTCACAAAACTAATTCACCTTTTGTTATTCTACTGATCGAGTGCTCACAAAACTAGTTCACCTTTTGTTATTCTACTGATTGAGTGCTCTCAAAACTAGTACACCTTTTGTTATTCTACTGATTGAGTGCTCACAAAACTAGTTCGCAATATGTTATTCTACTGATCGGGTACTTACAAACCAAGTTACCCTTTTGCTATTCTACTGATCGAGTGCTCACAAAACAAGTTAACATTTTGCCATTCTACTGATCGAGTGCTAACTACACTAGTTCGCCTTTTATTATTCTACTAATCAAGTGCTCACAACACTAGTTCGCATTTTGTTATTCTACTGATCGAATGCTCATGAAACTAGTTCACATGTTGTTATTCTACTTATCATGTGCTCACGAAACTAGTTCCCCTTTTGTTATAAAACTGATCGAGGGCTCACAAAACAAATTCATTTTTTGTTATATTTCTGATCCAGAGATCACAAAACTATATCACGTTTTGTTATTATACTGATCGAATGCTCAATAGACTAGATTACCCTTTGTTATTCTACTGATCGAGGGCTCACAAAACAAATTCGTGTTTTGTAATTCTACTGATCGAGAGCTCACAAAACTAGTTCGCCTTTGGTTATTCAACAGATCGAGTGCTCACAACACTAGTTCACCTTTTGTTATTCTACTGACCGAGGGCTGAGAAAACAATTTCCTCTTTTGTTATTCTACTGGTCGAGTGCTAAAAAAACCTAGTTTCCATTTTGTTATTCTACTGATCGAGTGCTTACAAAGCTAGTTCATCTTTTGTTGTTCTACTGATCGAGTACTCACATAACTAGTTCACCTTTTGTTAATCTGCGGATCGAGTGCTCACGAATCCAGTTCGCCTTTTGTTATTCTACTGATCGAATTCTCACTAGACTAGGTCACTTTTTGTTCTTCTTCTGATCGAATGCTCACAAACTAGTTCACCTTTTGTTATTCTACTGATCGAGTGCTCACAAAACTAATTCACCTTTTGTTATTCTACTGATCGAGTGCTCACAAAACTAGTTCACCTTTTGTTATTCTACTGATTGAGTGCTCTCAAAACTAGTACACCTTTTGTTATTCTACTGATTGAGTGCTCACAAAACTAGTTCGCAATATGTTATTCTACTGATCGGGTACTTACAAACCAAGTTACCCTTTTGCTATTCTACTGATCGAGTGCTCACAAAACAAGTTAACATTTTGCCATTCTACTGATCGAGTGCTAACTACACTAGTTCGCCTTTTATTATTCTACTAATCAAGTGCTCACAACACTAGTTCGCATTTTGTTATTCTACTGATCGAATGCTCATGAAACTAGTTCACATGTTGTTATTCTACTTATCATGTGCTCAAGAAACTAGTTCCCCTTTTGTTATAAAACTGATCGAGGGCTCACAAAACAAATTCATCTTTTGTTATATTTCTGATCCAGAGATCACAAAACTATATCACGTTTTGTTATTATACTGATCGAATGCTCAATAGACTAGATTACCCTTTGTTATTCTACTGATCGAGGGCTCACAAAACAAATTCGTGTTTTGTAATTCTACTGATCGAGAGCTCACAAAACTAGTTCGCCTTTGGTTATTCAACAGATCGAGTGCTCACAACACTAGTTCACCTTTTGTTATTCTACTGACCGAGGGCTGAGAAAACAATTTCCTCTTTTGTTATTCTACTGGTCGAGTGCTAAAAAAACCTAGTTTCCATTTTGTTATTCTACTGATCGAGTGCTTACAAAGCTAGTTCATCTTTTGTTGTTCTACTGATCGAGTACTCACATAACTAGTTCACCTTTTGTTAATCTGCGGATCGAGTGCTCACAAATCCAGTTCGCCTTTTGTTATTCTACTGATCGAATTCTCACTAGACTAGGTCACTTTTTGTTCTTCTTCTGATCGAATGCTCACAAACTAGTTCACCTTTTGTTATTCTACTGATCGAGTGCTCACAAAACTAGTTCACCTTTTGTTATTCTACTGATCGAGTGCTCACAAAACTAGTTCACCTTTTGTTATTCTACTGATTGAGTGCTCTCAAAACTAGTACACCTTCTGTTATTCTGCTGATCGAGTGCTCATAAAATAAGTTAACCTTTTGTTATTCTACTGATCGAGTACGCACAAAACAAGTTAACCATTTGCCATTCAACTGATCGAGTGCTCAAAAAACTAGTTCACCTTTTGTTATTCTACTGATTGAGTGCTCACAAAACTAGTTCGCAATATGTTATTCTACTGATCGGGTACTTACAAACCAAGTTAACCTTTTGCTATTCTACTGATCGAGTGCTCTCAAAACAAGTTAACATTTTGCCATTCTACTGATCGAGTGCTAA